TTAATGGGTCCGCACTTTAGCCGAAAAATGTACTCAAATTTGGCCGACTTTTTGCTGCACTGGTTGTACACTATTGACCACTCTTTCAACATATGGTTATACACTATAAATATGATCCCAATTATGACAAATAGGGCCCAAACTGTGCCCAACACTACACCCACAACACCGTATGGCGAAGACAACTGTCCAAACATTGATCACTCAATTGTCACACAAATACACAAATACTAATCATTCATAAGATAAACAGTTCTGTTATACAAATTTATTCAAACACATTATCTCGTAGTCAACAATCAACCATGGGCAATTGGTTTTAGTTAAACAATTATTAGTGATCGATCGCGCGCTCATAAATGGCATAACTTATAAGTATTATTACTCTATTATTATTATTACCGTATAAATTAATATTAGTTAAGTTTTGATGTTGATAGTGATCATTAAATGGAAACAATACACTTAGTTTGATTCAACATTACATTCACTGCATTTCTTAACTTACATTGAAAATAAAACACAAGAAAAAACTTTTAAATTACTTAATACCAAGAAATTAGTTTGAGATGTGCAGGGTAAAACAGAAATTGTTAGTCTATACGTGTGAATAATTAAACTAATAATTTACAAGTTTTATTCAAAACATGCTACTTTGGTAGTAATTTTGAGAACAAACGCGAGCGATAGCGATCCGGGATAGAGTTGCGGGAAAGTGACCACAGTTGAAGTGCCCGACCCTTTGAACACTAGATTGCCTTTTGTTCCCAACAATTGAATTGTATCGACAATTCTGGTGTCAACGGAGCCGAGAGTCAACCGATTGTTTAGCGGCCACTCGAGTACTATCGCATACACAGTGCCCGCTCTATGCGTACACCTCTGTGTATACCAAACATTGGTAGCGATGGTATCGTTTTGGTATTTCCAGGGTTTGGTCGCGTATATAGACTCGCCGTTCACCGCAAGCCACGAACCAAACTCTCGCAAACGCTCCTCAAATATGGGTATAACCCGTCCGTCAGGTGTGGGACCGATATTTATCAATAGATTTCCGCCACAACTTTGTCACAACATTTATGAAAAGTATAAGTTATATATATTTTTGTCCAATAAATTTGTTGTCCAATTAATGTCAACAAAAAGTGTCGTTCAATACCTGACAGTTTGTGCCAAAATAGTGACCAATTCGTGTGTAGTTATATAATCGCTGAGCTGTGCGTCTCGTCGATAACCCCACGAATACTTGTCTAAAGTCATGGCGTTCTCCCATTTGTGCAGTTGAAGTACACCCGGATTGTAACGGTCGGCGCAACTATAAAAACCACCATGCTTACAATAAGTGTCAATACCCCACCGGTCATTCACCACAACAGTGTCTTTTACGGGACTGCATAGGAATAGGGATTAATAAATTATTAAACATTATACTATACTTATATATTGATAATTTAATTAATAGTTTACCTCTCGTTGTAAAGCCAGGCCAAGAAGTCGGTGCTATTCCAGTAGGTGTCGAGCGCTTCCCACTCGCCGTCAGACCAAATCACGTCCGGTTTGTATGTATTGACCAACTCTTCCAGTTCTGGCCGCGCTTTGAATTGGACAAAGCGCTGAGTCGTCCAATTGTGGCGTTTGTCGTCATTATATAACGGATTAAACCATTCAAACCACGAATGATAGGCACCAAACCGTAGGCCCGCTTTGCGGACAGCTTTGGCCAAATCACCCAAAAGGTCTCGATTCGGGCCGACATCGACCGCATTCCAACTGAACGATGTCTTCGACGGCCACATAGTGTAGCCCTCGTGGTGTTTGGCCGTCAGTACCACGTATTTAGCGCCCGACGCTTTGAAAATGTCGGCCCAATAGTCGGGGTCATAGAATTCAGCGGTAAACTGATGGGCAAAGTCGGCGTAAGTGAAACCCGGGTAATAGTTACGTGCCATGAACTGGTCGTAGGCCTCCTCGTGTTCTCCCTTCCAACTCCACCTGAAATATATAATTACATTCATTAATGTGTTATATAATAGCGAAGCGATTGTGTGTTTCAAACCAACCAAAACCATTCGCTGCCAAACGATGGCACAGAGAAGACACCCCAATGTATGAAAATGCCAACCTTTGCCCTATCGTACCAACCGGGCAGCGGTCGGGCGTCTATCGACTCCCAATTGGCCGCATAGTATTGACTGGAAATCAATTTATCGCTACTGTTTGCCAAACTATTGGCCAAAACAATGATGTGAACCAATATAATGTAATATTTCATTGAATTCATGTCCAATTCAATTACTAATTGACAATTAGTCTTAAAACTCGTATAAAGAGAGCCTTAAATAAAAATACCGGTATTGAAATATTTCTGGATATCATTTTTACAATTATAGTTTATATACAGTATGAATATTTCTAAATTAATAATATTTATTTGGATAATGTACTCAACAGCTGTGCGCCATATAAAATTAACCATGTACTAATTATATAAAAATATAATTATACAAATAAAAATAAATTTGAATCTTTTGTCCCAAACTTGACATTAAAATGTATATAAATTAAATTGAAAGTGAAAACTATGTTAGCCTTCATTGACTGAGATTAGCGATAATTGACTCAAACAAACTAATCGGTAAAATTGTTACTCAATTACTACATACATTTACATGATGGACAAAAATTGTAAATATTATAATTGTGATTGATTAAAGGCAGAACTAGAATATTCTATACAAAGTACCCTAACGTTTTGCACTAAAGTGCAGTATATTTGACACTAAAATACAATTATAAATACCAGAAGTGAGAGCTAACCACCCGATATGGGTAACACTTAGCACGTGATTTGAGCCGGTTTTAATCGTGGTGATTACTTTATGTTAAGCGTGTTGG